CAGGGTAGGAGGCCTCTCAGAGGCAAACTTCCCCCACAGCCTCAAAAAAAGGCAAAAACCACAAAGCTCAGAATGTGGTCATTTTGCTGCAAATGCACCTTTGGGGTACCAGGGAGCTGCCTGCAGGCTGTATGAGGTGAAAAATCAAATGTGCATCACAACTCCACAGGAGAGTTACTGAGTGTGCACCTTGTCTGCACAAGGTTGAAAAGAAGGGAGCTTTGATCATCCAGTTAATATCAGTAGTTTTCCCTATTGTCAAACAAGGGTTGTCACCAATGCTTAAAGCCCTTTAAGATCTTTAAAAGACTATGTAAGTATTAACTGCTTTTTTTTAGATCAGGGGAAGACACAAAATTCTCCAATTCTGGGAAGAAATTGTAGCAGATAGAGAATTTGGTTCCCTTCACTAAAGACAAAATAAGAAGATATATGTAGGATTTGTCCATCAGTTTCAAGTGGAACAGCTAAAACATCTCCCTTTTGGATTGTCCTTTTGTGCCTTTGCCTCTGTTATTGAAGATTTCCATGACTAGTCTTCCTGTGAGCTTTCTTTTTGAAGTTTAACTTATTTGTGTTTGCTGTTTTCATTTTCTCCCATGCCTAGGCTATGAGGTTCCCCCCAAAATCTTACAACAAGGACTTGGAGTCTGCAGAGGTGAGGGTTCCTGGCAACCACACAGAAAGCTCCTTAGTTGGGTCATTGTTTTGTGCTTGATTATCGGCTGGCAATCTTAATGAACTAGGTCCTGTTGTTTGTTCTTGTGTAATGGCATTTGGACATTAAATTGCTGAAATCATGTAAGATTTAAATACAAAATGGTTTGTTGTAATCTCTTAAAATTGTCTTGTGAGATTTCAAACATCTTTTTAAAATTGATATTTAATTTTGATACCATCTAGATCAGTGTTTCTCAACTGTGGCCATTTGAAGATGTGCGGACTTCAACTCCCAGAATTCCCCAGCCAGTCATGGGAGTTTAAGTCCACACATCTTCAAATGGCCACAGTTGAGAAACACGGATCTAGAGGTATCCCTGGTATCATGTTACTGACTCTTGTACAAGTCTATTCCTTTGTAAAATAACAAAAATGTTTGATTAAATGCAGCAAAGTAGCTGAATGTATAGATCATTTTACAGAACTCATCTTTTTTGGGCACAGACATTTAAGCTGTAGGGCATATATCCTTGTGCCCAGTGTTGAAGTCGGGTCAGACCAAGGAGGCAGAACACACGCAGCATTGTCAAAGTAAAAGGTTTTTTATTCTATCCGTTAAAAAACAAGTGGCTGGCGCGCCAGCAGCTCCTATTATACAGGGAGCTATAGCCTTGTGCCCAGCATAGCACAATAATGTTCTTACAAATGCCTGACAAAAGGAGGCACTTTTTGGGGGGAATTATTTTTAGTTTCCAGAGTGAGGTGTGGGAGGAGTAACACATGGGTATTAACCCAGCCCTTTTGCCCTGGAGTATGAGGTAATCTTTTGAGGCCACACCTCCGATCCTCCTTCTGCTCTCCCAGATTAACCTCAGACTCCAGCCCAAAAGGAGTGTTTTTCCTACTCTCCCTCACCTTGAAGACTTAGGTTCTTTTTTGCAGGATTTTTTCTTCCAGACTTCTTTTTTCTACCATTCTTCGGATTCTTCAGGCTTCAGGAGTTTTTTTCCTTCACAGAAGAAGCACTGAAGAGCGCCTCACCCCTCCTTATTGTGCTCAGCGTCACTAGCCAGCCACGCCACTGGCTAGCGCGATTCCCAGCGACCGGACAGTCGCGTAAGCGGAAAGAAAGGCTGCACAGGGCATTTGGAGGTTCCACGCACCCAGGAGGCCATTTGTGGACCGGGGAGCCGTTGGATTCCTCCCCCAATGCTCTCCAGCTGCAGGGATTCGGGTCACAGATCGGCGGCCTCCATCTTGGTCCTCCACCAGAGCACGTGGGTGAGCGCGTGACCGGCGTTCCCTCTACGGGCCCCAGGAGTACTCAAAACAGCACCGCGGAAGCCGGAAGAGGCTTCCAAGGCCCCAAACTCCGCTGGCTCTCTGGGGAGGGCCCAATCCAAGCGGTGCGCCGGCAGCCGGGCCGCAGATTGGCGGCAGGGATTTTTTCAAGCAAGGCCGGCCAGAGGAAGGGAGGCAGTGAACGGCAGAACTGTGAGTACAATGGTGGAGGCGGCAAGGATCGGGGGTGCCAGGCCCAGAGCCCACGTGGATCCGGATCCGGGCGAGGGGACCTCCAGGAGGGAATCCCCAGGTACCAGAGGGAGGTCCCCTGCCAAGAGAGGCACCCCCAGGCCCCAGAGGAAGGGAACCTTGGGAAAGGAGGTTCGGATC